ACGTAGCTATCATCAGTGTCAATACAGTCAGCATTTTCATCACAGTCGTTATCCTCAGGTCTTGCACATTCATTATACCTAAACTGCACTTTACAATACCACTCTTGAGCTACTGTAAGAAACTTTGTACTATCACGCACCTGCAAACTCGTCCAGGGCTTTCAGGCATCTCATCCTTGAATGGAGGTTTGCACCTACATTCATAGCCATCAATGGTATCAATGCATTCGGCGTTCTTATCACAATCGTTCAGATTCTCAGCTAAGCATTCATTGATGACTGAAAAAAAAAGATGGGATGGAGATTACTGGAAGAATAAGGGAAAAGAGCTGGAAGGAAAGCATCAATCCAATTCTTAAAAAAATTGTCCTAACTTCCGAAACTTTTAGTTTTTTCCAGTAAGTTACATATTGTTTAGAAGTATCATAAAATTTAGAAAATTCTATTGCACACCAAACTTTCATACTTACTGAATTTGCAGTTCGTTCCTGGATTAGCTGGATTTTTATCGTGATAGTCCTTTTTGCATCTGAAACATAATAGTTATATCTCAGAAAAGATTTTAACGATAGAGAAAATTAACAGTGTATAAGTCCTGATAGAAAGAGACATTTTAACCGCGGTTGTGATGCTTAGAATCATAAATTATAAGTTTAGTTCAGAAAGCTTAAGCCTTGCGATAAAATCCCCATAATAAATCTGTGTAAGTTGTTATTTTTGGTGACTCATGTGTGCTAGACTTTACTTTTTAATTTCATATTTCTAACTTAAAACTATTCCGAATGATTGTTCAAAGGATTTGTGCACAGAAGAATAAGTAACGCTAAACCACAGAAAAAAAATCAGCGGTTTGATTTCGTTTTCTTGTTGTTTCGGTTTTACTTTCAAGTGTTTCGCAAACAAGGGTTTTACTTTATTTCAGTTTACAGCTCGCTTGACTATTCATTTTATGAGGGCAGATTTACATATTTTATATAAATCATTTGATTTTTAGAAGTATGTGTACAAATTTGGACTTTCAACACCAATAAAGTAAACGAACTGATAAAGACTATAACTCTGAAAAGTGTATTTGATTTGCATGATTTGCCAAGTTTACCAAGCACAGTACACCGGAAAGAATATCAAACTACT